AAAACTAATATTTATAAAAAGAAATTGTGTATAATTTTTTTTTTTTAATTTTTTTTAATTTTTTTATTATTAATATTCTTTATTCAATAATTTTATTAAATATTGCAATCCATATATATGTGTTTAGGTTTTCTTAATAAATATAAATTTAAATATAAAATTCTTATTTATATAAAATTTCATTTTATTGATTTATTTTTAATTATTTTATATTTTTCGTTAATGAATTTTAAATATATATATATATATATATATATATATATATATATATATTTATATTTATATTATATTTCTTAATTTAATTATTATATATTCTACATTTATATCAATTTTTTTATAAATATAATATACATTTATGTACATACATTAATTAATTAAAATTTATTATTTTTATTTGCTTTCATTCTCTTTTTTATTTATTTTTTTTTTTTTTTCATTTATTATACCTGTATAGATTATAGAATAACTTCATATATATATTACAACAATGAGAAGTCAATAAAGCTAGTTTCAAGTTGATCAAACTTCGAGCCAAGTTAAGCAGAAATAGCTGCCAGCTTTGTTAACCTTGACCTTTGAGACATTACAAAGTCGAAATGTGTTGACTGAGTGTGCCTATTAATATACATATCTAACACCCGGGCTTGTAATCGAAGCTTAGCACACAAAAACAAGCAAATGAACCGGCTGTTTAGCCGTTGAGCTGCTGCGGCGAGTGCTGAGGCGGGTGCGGGGTATTGGTTGTTGAGTCTAGCAGCTAACCGAGCTAACCGCAAAGTCCCATAATTAAAGACTGGCAGAGCAGACCGAAATTTGTCGCCAATTTAATTAAAACCAATTTTTTGGACTGGCTGCTGTTTATGTTGTCAGCAGGTTGAGCCAGAAGCGAAGGCGTGGCTGCTGGATGCTGGCAAACGGAGCGTAAGTCGCTTTGGGAACCCATCGCACGCACACCAACACACGCACACCCATGCACATACACATACACATAGGCACACGCATGTTGCCTGTTGACCCTGGCAAAGGATTTGCATTTGTTTGCTCTACTGTATCCGTGGTCCTCATGCGCGGAACAATTACGCAGAGTGCGTGGTCAAATGGACTGAACCGTGGATTGTGGGCGGCGGCGTGGGCGTGGGCGTGGGCGTGGGCGGGACTGGCCAGCAATTGCTGCGGTTCCATGCAAATCCAGGCGTTATCCCCGCGATGCGTACCATGGGCTCCCTTTGCACTCCATTGTTTGCGTAATTCGATAAATTAACGTTACGATGGCTTCCATTGGGAGGGGTGGGGGGTGGCTCAAGCCCCGTTGCCCATTTTAATAATTTTTAATTAGCTGCCGCTGGCTGACAACGCTCAGGCGGCTATTGCAAAATTGGGTTTTAATTAAGTTTATTTCGAATTGCGCCCAAATCCAGCTAAGCCTAATGAATTCGATTGTTGTGCCACGCATTTCTCCAAACCATGTTCAGGATATATATACTGATAACTGCCGAAATATATTTATATTGAAAATAGACTAATTAATTATGAGGTAATTAAATTTTATTCAAAATGAAATTTATATTTTAAATAAATCGTTTTCCTAATTGTTCAAAGTCAAGAGATGAACAGCAAAGGCAAAATTTTTAAATTTATTTAAATTTGAATTCATTTAAAACAAATAATTTGTATTATTCAAATAACTACGTACACATTTTGTACTTCCATTTGCGCAAAACTTTTAAGAATAATTGACATAACTACAAGGCGTATGCGTAATAAAACAAATTATATTTCAATTGAACTTTGAAATGAAATTCAAAAGCTCGCATTTTTGCATTCTCTTGCTGAAATTGCCAAAATCAATCAAGAAATCTTGTCCATTCAGGCAAGAGGCTGACTTGGTGGCGCCACTGTTGGAGTCCAGTACCACTCGGAGTAGGGCACACAGGCCTTGACATCATCCAGCCAGGCCTGGGCAATAGGACAGTAGGCCGGCGAGGCAGCCACGCCCAGCACCTGGCATACCCAGTACTGGTTCTTGCGGTAGTAGTGGCGATAGGCGCCGACAGCCAGCTCCTCCTCCGTCTGGCAGCCCGGCTGGCCGGTGGGCTTGCCCCAGGGGTTGGCGAGGCAGCAGCTGGCCAGAGCCAGGCACACAGCGAACAGATACAGCGAGTTCATGTTTGGAGGAGTTTGTTTCGAAGACTGACCTATGCTAATGCCCAGGCGTTGCTTTTATAGCACAAAAATCTGCGTGTTATCTTATCAAAACAACGAAACTAATCACGAAGTTAGTGTGGCGCGATGCTGTAAACAGATATGACGGAGCCACCCTACGCCCGTTGCCATTTGGCAGCCCAGTTTATGGCTCTGTTTGTGTGTGCACAGCGTTTGTTATTGTTTTTGCAAAGGGCTCAGGGGGCGCAAACAGGGCGGGGCAGAGTCACTGTCGACGGACCACCCACTTGAGGTGCTTGCATATTCATGACATAAGCATGGCTGCTGTAAATTATTTGCAGAGATAGCCCGGGCAAGCCACAAACAAGCGGAGCAACAGCTAATTAATTCCGAGCGCTGCCTTTGAGGCATTTCTGGTCGCAGGCCAACGAAAAATGTTCACCTGGCAAGCGGACGGACGAAGATGCTAAGAAGAGAGAGGAGCGAGAGCGGCATCGACACTTTCGACTAGCTTTTTTGGGCCGCCTTAAGCCATATTAGGACCTGCACACTCTTGAGTAATTGCCCTTGCCAATGCACTGGGGCTGCAGTCGTGGCTCGGCCCCCTGGCTGGCTGCTCAGTTGGGTGGGGCATTTCGCCTGGCTTTGTTTGCTCTTGGCCATAAATTAAATCAGGTTATTAATGTCTGCCATTAAATGAAGCTACAGGCAGCACAGCGACAACAACAACGACAACTGTGGCACGGGCATTGCAAACGCTTTGTGTTATCCTTGCCAGGCCGCCGTGCTTTGCCATCCTTCGGAGCGGCTTTCGTTGATTTATGCTAATTTGTGTGGAATTTCGAGCATTTCGAAGTTATTTCTAGATTTTCGTACATAAGTGTGCAATTTGTATGCACTTTTGTCTTCAAAGTGAACGCACGCAGAAAATCCCAGCCGGAAGATGAATATTTTACTCCCTGAATTGGCCCAAGAGCACGCAGAAGACGTTCAGTGTATCAACTGCCGCCTCTATATCTGTTTTTCTGTCTCTCTCTCTCCCTGCCTGTCCCAATGGCTGCATATCTATCTCTCTCTCTCTCTCTCTGTTTCTCCCCTCGCTCACTCTATCCCACACACATGTAATCTACCTCTGACGTTTTCTCTTTTTATCGTCTATTTCGGTATTTCTTTTCGTCTTTATACCTCACTATCTGTCTATCTGTCTGTCTGTCTCTAACTCTCTCTCTCTCTCTTTTTCTATCTTTCTCTCTACGTTTGTCTCGCCCCTTACTTTCCTTTCGCCCACTCTCTACCGTCTCGAGTTTTTGCTTTTCCTTTCTAACTATGTCGGTATACACATATATCTCCCTCTCTTTCTCGCTCTCTTTATAACTCTTACATTTCCATTTCCTCCTTTCCTACCTCTTCCTATCTTAAGCTTAAAATATCTGCTTGTTTAATAGTTAAGTTCTCAATCGTATATCGCCTACTCGAGCATCCTTTCGCTATATTGACCTGTAAATAGGGCAATTTCATTCAGTCGTTTCACACCGTTGCAGTCTTTGAAGTCAAAGCCGTGTTATAATTGAATACAAATACAAAGTAATTTGTTTTTCATCGCACACAAATGATGCAATTACAATTCGCGAATGACGATTACACGTGTGCGATTTGGATTGTGGCACTCCGTTCGTTGACATGCAAATGTCAGTTATATTTTCTTCCTTTTTTGCAGTTTTCCACATGCACGCATACGAAAATGAACACGCTGATAAAATAAAAATTATAACTGGAAAAAAAAACCTACAGTTTGAGGCTATAGCAAAAATGTGTTTGCAGCTCGTTTTATTGATGTGCTCGATTCTCCATTGACAAAGGACCTGACACACAACTGTTGGAATATAAAATAAAATTGGTATAAAAAATGCAAAAAAAAAAAAAATGTTTTTTTTTTTTTTTTGTAAGCCCAATGCCAGTGCCGTGTGAAGTGGAAATGGAAATGTAACTGGACCGGTTTGCCAAATACACCAATATTGATTTATGACAGATGTTTTTGGAGGCGTCCAACATGAAGTTTAATGTCGCTGTCTAAAGCTATCAACATTGTTAAGGGGTGTCATTTAATTGCAATGGAGCACGTCAAAAGTCAGTTGGCCAACAAAATTGTTGCGTGCACTGCGCGAAATACGCAGCAACTGTTGCTATCTGAGTCATCTACCAGCCAACGAGACGCCCCTTACCCGATAGCTTATCGCGCCATTTCATCTCGATCTTTGAGCACGATCAGATAAACACTTGTTTAGCGGCAGTTGACTTTCCTCACTGATAACGACTTTAAGTAGTTCAATAAACGAGGAACACACATTATAAATCTCTTTGAGAGCAGCGGATGTAACATCGGAAATACACTACTATATGTCATATATATTGGGTTACTCAACTAGGACTAGACTTGAGTAGATATTTATTTATATTATTATATTTTTTGCGAGATTTACTCTTCACATTATCTTAACAAAAGTTTAAAGTGTTTAAAAATCATAGAGATTTCTAGATTCTACTTCACTTAGAGATAAAATCAAGATTATATTGAGATTGTATAAAGATCGTGCTAAGTCTCAACAACTATGTATTTACTCTTTTTGAGTGGTTCTCGGGAAATGTAGATAAATAAATTTATAAAGCTCGATAATCCAAGCATATCATACATCACAAGATTAGTTTCAAGTAATTGTAATATATACTTGATAAGAATCTTTTTCTTTTTTTTTATAAATTTTTTTAAGTATATATACTTTATTAGCTTTTAGGAAATATTATATATTGTTAATAATTCATTGAACAAAATTTCTTGAATATTTTCATACCTGCTTGTTTAATATTTCTCAAACTACCAATTCCATCAATAATAAAATTTTAATTTTCAGTATCAATTGTCTTTTTTATTCCAAATCTGTGCAGTCATATGTTTATCTTAATTACATGGCTGCCAGCCAGTTGGACGACTTGGTGGCTCCACGCAGGGCCTCCAGACCCAATCGATCCAGGGCACGCACGCATTTCTCTCCTGGCTGAAGGCCGTGTTCGTCTGGCACTTGAAGAGTTCGGCCTTCCCATTCAGGGTGGAGCACCTCCAGTACTTGGTGGGATCGATGCAATGGCGCTGTGGGTAGCCCACCTCAGATGCCAGCTTGCAGCCAGGCTCATAGGTATCAATGCATTGCCCAAGCACACTCGAGGCCAAGCAGAGGGACGCGGCGAAGGCCAATAGGATTCCTAATTTGAGCAAATGGCAAACACTTAGTTAGCGTGATGGCAATGGATGGCTGGTCCTACCTGAAAGACGCATTATGGATAATGTCACTATCTGATGGCAACTGTCGATGCTTGGGCTGTGGCCCAGCTGCTTTTATACTCAGCTTAAGTGGTGCATGGAGAGTGCAGTTCATTGTACTATGCTGAAGCGCTTATTTGTATGTGCAGTCGATTGTCCATACGCATATCTCTCAAGTGCCGGAGTCAAGGTGACGATTTCTTTCAGTGCTCTCTCTGCCTGATTGTTTTTCCCACAACAAATGATTCGATAATGCCCCTCGTGTGAGCTGCTGTCCAGCATATGGCATGCAACTCACACATTCTGCAATGGCTGAAAAGACAACAGAAAAAAAGAAAATAATACAAATCCCTTTACAGCGTTTGCCACGAGAAATCCGAGCTTTCACAACAAGTGCCAGAGGAGCGACTGTTTCACAGAAAATCGTTGCCCTTACCAATTTTGTTGGACATGACAAATCCATTCCTTCGACCCCACCCATACAAGTCAATTGTGCTGCACTCCAATCGCATCGAAATGAATTTCAAAATCATTAAATCATTGATTGAGCTTTTTCAACGAAAAGTTTTCTTTAAAGCAGTGCTTAGTTTTAATAAGCATATTCTTTCAAATTAACAACAAACTCTGAGACTGACATCCCATCTGACTTGTTATTTCAATCTCTTCTTCTGCAACTATTACGTTTTTGCCTAGAAAATTGCCTGCCACTCACGCACTTAAATTGCCAAGCTCAAAGTGAATTTCTGGCTTAAAGAACGGTCAGCGTAAGACTCTGCCACATGCCCCAATCAGTTGCACAACGTTGAGAGAACGTACATATGTCCGAATACGTGAAAAACTTCATTTGGTGCAAGCGCAGCACAAAAACGAACGGACAAAGCATTGCCCGTGGCCAATTTTCTAAGACATTTGAAATGCATTTCCGTTTACCCACAAAAGCCAATCACATATGTATGAAGGCCAAAATGAAATAATGAAAGATGCTGTTTCTAGTTAAATTTTAAACACGACTCATACTCTAGTATCGGCATTTTTAATTCCATGCACTTTATGTTTTTTCATGGCGAATTAATTAAAAATAAAAAATAGCTTCAGAGGTTAAGTTGATATTTGTTCTCGCGCCATATTTTAAATAAGGAACAGAGATGCCATACTGCCAACAATTTGGTAAACAAAGCAAACAGCGTTGCCAAATATTGAATTTGACAGGGCTGCAATAAGCTGCTGATACTGTGGAATTAACTTCTGTGCGCACAGTTCGAGTCACTTGAAGTTAGCTGCGCTCTAAAAAAGTATTGATATCGTCTATCGATAAAGAAATAGTGGCAGCGAGAGAAAAATAAAAATTCCGCAACAACAACACACAAATTGAAGTGTAGTGAAGAATTAAATCTAATTATAACAAAAAACGGGCAAGCATTAAGAGCACGCATACACACCAACCCACGTAAACAAGGCTAGTTAATTAGTGGAACAAAACTTGACGATATTTGGACACAACAACACAATTGCAAACGGGCAGGGCAGTGCGGCGGTGACAGCGGCAGCGGCAGCGGTAGTCGCAACGACAGCGACAGCGGCAGCGGCAGGTAGTAGCCCAAACACTTGCGTCTGAGTGGGGCGCGCGCGAGGCATGGGTTGAGGTGTATATGCATATATATGTGTGTGTGTGTGTGTGTGTTGTGTGTCAGTGTGTGCGGGTGTGATGCAAAGAGCAGCAGTGACGGCAACAACAATAAGCGGCGCATGTAACTAAACCGAACGCCTACGTAATGGCCAACCAACTGGATGCCAATGTCAAGGACGATCTGAAAACGCAATTTGTTACCCGAGAGGGCACCTATCGCCTGCTCACCCTTTCCGAATACTCGCGACCCAATCGCGTCGGCTACAGCAACAATCAAAGCTCGCCCCAGGTGCGCGTCTCATTTGTAACGTTACCGAATCCCAGCAGTAAAAACAATAGCGAAGCGAATGTGGCGGCACCGCAAACAGCAGCAGGAACTCCAACAACATCGACATCGAGTGATAAGCGCACGCAATTGAATTCAAATGGCGCAACAACATCAACAACAACAACAACACCTGCAACACCAACAACAACGGCAACAACAACCACTAGTACATTGAATGGCGGCGGCGCCGGCGGCGACAGCAACTACAACGGCGGCAGCAGCAGCACCGTGGATACCCGCCTAGGCGGCGGTATATCCATGCACTCGATGACCAATGGCGGCGTGCTGGACCAAAACGGATTGCCCACAAATCAAATCTATGGTGGAGATCGCATCTGTTTCAATTTTGGACGCGACCTCTATGTGTATGCGTTCCGTGGCGTTAAAAAGGTGAGCAAAGATGGTTTTGGGTTTTTTATGAACATACTGAAGCGCACCTGTAGACACGAACTCCCTCTCCCCTCTCTCTCCCCATGCAAGTGACGTGGCCAGTCTCTTCTCGTAGATCTTTCAAGCGGTTTGTTATCAAAAGTGCATGCTGATAAGCAGAGCCCTGCACACACCGACTTCGCCCCTTAGCTCTGCTCATGTAATAGTGCCTCCTCGCAACGTTGCCGCCCCCGCAGCAATTGGCAGTGCCCACTTAGTTAGAACTGCGGCCCCCGTCTGTCACTCCGGCTCACGTTCCGGCAAATCGTATCCAGTTTCCTCATGGCATACAAAATGCTACCCCAAACACAATCGCTTAATTTGTTCCAATTCTCGCTGCGTCTGTTATTTAGCTATTGTTATTGTTGTTGTTGTTGATCAATTCGTTTGCTTAGCTTTTATTTAAATGTGTTTATTGCGCTCGAAGGCAGTTTTTTCCACCGCAAATCATCCAACTTGGCAGTTTTTAATGTTTGCTCTTTAGACATACCCTAACGAGCGTGGAGTATCTATCAGTTATATATGTCATGAATTGAATTAAATTTGTAAATCGATTATATTTTGCTTTAAAGTATATCGAGATAGCCAAACACTAATTATAGCAATAAATGTAATATTGTATGTAGAAATTGGAACAGCCAGTTTGCAAGGTAGAGCCTGTGCTAATGTGAATTATTTGTTTAAGTATATTCAATATTCGAATACGTTACAATAATTGCATTCCTTATTTACCAAGCAGCTGTTTCGCACTTTGAGTTATTTCAACTGCAAAAGCTTGCATTCGCACACGGTTTTGCTATAAACTTGTTTAGGTCTTCATTTGGTTAGTTTCGTATTCTGAATCATTTCCATCAGGTGCTCAACGGAAAGTCTGAACAAGCCGCTAATTTCCACAAAGCTATCAAAATCGATGCTAATTGGTGTACCTTATGATCGGGGAAAAAAATAGGCGCAAAGAGTTTGTTTGGCTTGGCAAAGTCTGTTCTATTTATATTTCTTGAGTAAGCTTATAATCTAAATTTAGAAGAAAGATAATCCTGTTGATTCACAATTGCGAAATGAGCGTTCAGTAATTGTGCAAAAATCCTAAAATGTAGCTGGATTACTATGATGCAATTATAATATATGTTGAAAGTTCTTTTATGGCACGCCACAAATACCCGCCTATGTTTGGAACAGAGAGATGACTAACTAAGTTTATTTTATTGTTATTGGCTTTGCAGGGCACCGAGATGAGCAAACCCATCGATAAGAAGTTCTACAAGGGCACAAATCCCAGCTGTCACGATTTTAATGCCAATGCAGCCACGCCCTCTGGTGCACCGCTGCTGGTTGGTTTCACAACGGGACAAATACAGCTGGTATCACCGCAGCAAGGGCCACGCGAGCTACGCAAACTATTCAACGAAGAGGTAAGCGAGAGGATCAAACAGTTACTCAATTTGCCCACATACTGAGTGAATCTATTTCTCTTGTATAGCGCCTGATTGATAAGACCAAAGTGACCTGCCTGAAGTGGCTGCCAAATTCGCCGCATCTGTTTCTCGCCTCGCACGCCTCGGGACACTTGTATCTGTATAATGAAGAGCTGCCCTGTGCGGCCACAGCGCCCAGCTATCAGCCATTTAAAGTGGGCGACGGCTATACGATACTCACCTGCAAGTCCAAATCGACGCGCAATCCTCTGTATAAGTGGGTCTTCAGCACCGAGAACTGCTGCATCAATGAGCTGTGCTTCTCGCCTTGCGGGTCGAATCTGGCGCTCGTCTCACAGGATGGTTTCTTGCGAGTCTTTCACTATGATACCATGGAATTGCTAGGTATTGCGCGCTCTTATTTTGGTGGCTTCCTCTGTGTCTGTTGGTCACCCGATGGCAAATACATTGTTGTTGGCGGCGAGGATGATCTGGTGACGGTGTGGTCGCTGCACGAGCGACGAGTTGTGGCGCGAGGCCAGGGCCATCGTTCCTGGGTTTCTGTAGTGGCCTTCGATCCCTATACCACCTCCTACACGAACTGGGATGGAGGCGATTTCAGTGATGATGAAAATCAGCTGAATGAATACACTGCTTCGAGGGAGGATCGGTTCTCTGGCGATTCAACGGCCAATGGTGGCTTCGAGGGCTTCGATAAAAACTCTACGCCGTTGCATACGAATCGAACGCGTACACACTCGGCTTCGTTTCGTTCGGATGCCTCATCGGCGGCGCTGGCGCCGGACAAGCTGGCCATTAGCTATCGCCTCGGCTCGGTTAGTCAGGATACGCAAATCTGCCTGTGGGATATCACGGAGGACGTGCTTCGGCACCCATTGACGATGCGCCAGCGCGTAAATAGCACGCAGCTGAACGACAGCAGCTTCCTGAATGGCGGCCTCGATGCGGATGGCATCAAAGTGATACGACCCGTGGCCATGGGCCAGCCAAGCAACTTTGCCGACTCCAGCAGCTGTAGCCCTATTAGGGAAACAGCTGGCGGTGGGGCTGCCGGTGCGACAGAGCATAGCAATAGCAGTTCTAGTAAATTCTCCACGGCCAACTGCACGATATCCTCGCAATCATCCAATGCCAACACGCCGCCAGACGAAAGCTGTGACACGGAGACGGCGACACCTGCAGCAGCTGCTGCCGCGAACACCACATCCTCATCCAAAGCGAACAGCCGGTCACATGGCAATAGCAACTCGATCAAGTTTCCCAACTGCATCAGTGCGACTAAGTCGGACAGCATTGACAGCAGTGGCCCACGCGTTAGCAACTCCAATTACTCCACATCTGGCAATAGCAAAAATTCCAATAGCTCTACCAAATCCAATTCCAATGCGGGCTCCAGCAGCAGCAGCTTCAGCGCCTTCAATAGTCTCACCCAGCGTTTGACAAATTTCAGTTTCTTGAGTAACTCAGACAAACGCTCGTCAAGCATTGGTTATGACGGCAGCGGATCGACGGCTACGAATCATCGACAGCATCGCAAAGCAATGAGCATGCTAAAGAGCTATAATCAACATAATCACAGTAACCACAGCAACAACAACAGGAGCACTAATAACAACAGCAGTTCCACAAGCATCGCGCACTCGACAGCGGTGGAGTCGGGAAGTGGCGCAGCCATTGGTAGCAGTGCAACGGCGCATAGCTTTGGCTCACTGAAGTTAAGCAAATCCTCGCACAACTCTTCGCTGGCCACGGCTGGACAGTCGTCGACCAGTGTGAGTAGCTATGATCCCATGAAGCTCATAGGTACGCCCGCCTGTCCCAGGTTTGAAGAGTGTCCGCTCCTGGAGCCGCTCATTTGCAAGAAGATTGCGCACGAGCGCCTCACGGCGCTCATTTTTCGAGAGGATTGCTTTTTAACGGCATGCCAAGATGGGTTTATTTATACATGGGCGCGGCCAGGACACAGTACGGTAAGTGGACACAGCTTCAGTTTCAGCTTATCTCTCTGAACTCTTCTAAAATGAATCTCTTTGCTCCACAGCACGTTGCTCAACACATGTCGCCCAGTCAAACAACGCCTACGGGTGGCACGGTAATATAGTTCGTTAAAATGGATGCGATCAACTATCAGCGTAATCTTGTCAAGCAGCAGGAGGCGGCACAGTCGGTGATTTAGGTTAGAGCTAGCGATTGATTTCAAATTATATTTCCCGTTAGAAAGAGTTTTAAATTGTTTATCAATATTCCCATATTATTATTATTATTTTTTTTAAATTACGTTTGTTGCACCTTTTTTTGTATTCCAATTTAAAATGAACACACATGAAATATTTAAAATGAAAAATGAATAAAAAAAAAAAAAGTATATATATACGAGATATACATAGTTATGTAAAACATAACTACGATTTATATGCAACAGCAGCAGGCAACAGAACAAAAACAAACATTTATATAAATACAATATGAAATGTATGAAAACATTTACAAATATAAATATTGATCTATATATTTAAATTTGAATTATGATTAGTTGTAAATGTATTATTTTTAATACGTGGAATTTGTTAAAAACAAAGCAAAGCATGTTTATAACTATTTACTAAGCGCTAGCATAATACACGGTACACATTAATAAAAATAAAAAAAAACAACCAAACAGAAACAAACACACAGAAAATCAACTAAACACACTTTGCATAAGTCAACTTTAAAGAGAATCATTCAAAGGAAAAAACCCCGAAATGGAAGCTAAGCTAGCGAATTTGTACGCAAAAGTTTTTCACTCTTGCGCTATGGTACTGAGTTGCAATTGAGGCCCCAACTAACGAACTACTTATACTATATAAATATAAAATCAAGCAGAATACTAATTAGTATGCATCATTACTAAATGAAAGCAAAACGAGTAAAAACGAATACTAATACCTAATGTAGGAACTGTTATCGTTATTATGATTATTATAATTATTTTTCACGCTATTCGAGTGCAAAAGTCAGCCACACACATAATAACTAAAATAAACAAAGTGCATAAGCATTACAAATGAAATATAAAAACACACCCAACAAACTAGATCTAATGCAAAACAAACAAAACATAATTTCATACTGGCCTATATTTTATAAAAAAAAAAATTAAAATTAAATAAAAAACGAATCGTTATGCGTATGAAACTAGGAAAAAATTTCTAAGAGCAGATCAAGAGAACATTACGTAGTCTATAAGTAAAACAGTTAGAAAAAGTGAGAACAAAGAGATGATTGAAAGAGTAAAGAGTAAGAAATACAAAGTAAAAAGAAAAACAAGCAAACAACCAACCAACCAACACGTTACAGTAATAAAGACTAAAAATTTCAATAAAAACTATATACTATACATATAAAAAAAAACAATTGAAAAAAAGAAAAAAAAAAACGATTAAAAATACACGAAAGCTTGTTTCAATGACAACAAATTTGTTTATTTTATGCAACAGTCGATCGATAGAAATTGCCGAATGTCTGGTCTCTTAGACTGGATGTAAAAATAAGTTAAAGTATCTTATTTACAAGATTAGTCTGAAAATTTGCCATTCATATTCAAAAGATAGAAAAAAAGAAAATACCAAATTTGCATTTCAATAGTTTTCATACTATTCTATAGCCATAATATTCTCATTTTCAAGCATTGTTTATTTAGGTATAAAATGTGTTAATTTTGTTAATAACAAAAATATGTATATGCATCACCTATTGCAAATCTCAATCGGATGTTTCGCGAGCTTTAAGTAACGTATTTCTAACCATATAAGCTACTAAGATTTCAACATTTTGGAAATGATTTTTCATTGGCGATTTGAAAACATTCTAGCACACCATCAATTTTGAAAGCGTGTGTACACTGCGCACATACACCCACGTGTGTTTGTGTGTGTGTGTACCTGTTACCTGTTTTCGTTGCCCCAATCAATGAAATGAGTTTCGTAAAAATTAAACTATAGATTTTTATAGCGCTTTAAGCGTTGCCAATGGATCCACACCGGGCAAGTACAAATGCTTCGATAGCAGAAAAGCGAACAAAATCTGACCAGCAACTACAAGGAATAGGAAGTAAAGCTTCCTCTTCCGACCACCGCTATAATCGAACTGCTGTGGATTCCCATACGGATCGTAATTGATGGCACCGCTGGACGCAGTTGGCGAGTTGTCCTGCAACAGTTTTGTTCGCAACGTTCGTAGCTGTAAGACAGTTACAATTAATTATTTCTAATATTCCTTAGTTTGTTGTTGTATTGTTCTTCGTGCTCACCAGAAAGAAGCCAAAGGAGAAGCTGGTATATGCCAACGCTATATAGTAACCGGATCGAAAGAAGAGTGTGCTCATCAGCAGGCAGACGACAATATTTACATATTTATAGCCCGTAAATGCCAGCAAGTCCAAAGTCTTAAGACTCGTCTTCACATTCATCACGTACAGCGATATGGAGTAGATGACCAATTCGAAAATGCTATATGCCATCGCACTAGATGCCTGTATGCCTAGTTGCTCGGGAGAGAACCGATTCTGCATGCCCAGCAATAAACCGGCAACAATTACATATGTTATGTAGCCCATCGTTGGCAGATAAAGATCTGGCGCGTTTATATCATAACGTGGCTGCACAGGATGCTCCTGATCGTATTTCAGTGACCAATCCTACAAGGGGAAAAAACAGTTTATAATAGCCCAATGTAATTAACATATTTCTAAATTTAAGTTTAATTCGTGTTAGCAATCCTTTAAAGTTTATAATTTTCACGGCCAGCTTACCTTGTGTATATAAGGAAAGAATAGCAATCGTAACTTGCGTCCCACATAGGCATTATCTACTGCAAAGTAGTACTTCAATTTGGCGACCGGCACCCATTTCTCAAACTGATTCTCCACAAGTTGTTTGCCTTGATCGGCCAGTCGCTGGCCATACTGCATCGCCATGTCCTGTACGATGGGTTGCTGGAACATGGAAAACTGTGGATATTGACCACCAGGTGCAGAGCCGGCGGCAGATCCAAACGCTGGCGACTGCGGTCCACTCATGCCGAAGGCAGGCTGCCCAGATGGCGCATTTGGCATTGCCTGCTGCCCCGGCGTATATGCATAGTTTTGCTGCTGTGGCTGTTGTGCCGACGCCGCTGGCGTTGGGGCTGTATTGTAGCCATAGCTATTGACTTGCTGTGGAGCTGGACCGCCGTACATGTTGGGGTCGAACATGGTGGGTGCTGCCGTTGGCGTCATGAAAGCCGAACCACTGGGCATCGGAGCCGTCGGGCCCATTGCATTCAAATCGCTCACCCGTTTAATGGGACGAACCCGTCCGCCACCTTGAGCTATTTTTGGAATACAGAACAGCCGTTAAATTCTGTTGATTCAACATCCCAATTAGATTGTGATAGATTCGCAAGTGTTAGGAGGGAAAAGGAAAAAGTCAAGCTACAGACGCAGTAAACAAACTAAAAACGCAACATAATTATTAATGCAAGCTATAGAATAAACGTTTGAACGATTCAACAATTAACTACGAGAGGCAACTAAAATAACCGCCAGCTGCAGCTTTTTGTATTTGCGGCAGTGGCCGCCGCCGCCGCTACGGCAACAACAACAATAGCTGCCTTCGTGGTATATACTTGCGTAGCTATAGCTTGTTCCTTACAGTTTTCCCACTTACGATTCCGCATACCCGCATTTGGATTGTAGTTCATGTTGTTTGTGTGAGTCCCTGTCCCTTGCTGTGTTGTTTTGTTGCCTAATTAGCTCTGTATTTATTTGAAATATCACCAAAACTTTGGTTATTACACATCACCACTCGGATGAAACTCGATAGGTACACGATAGGTTTGTTGTTAAGACATCGATAAATTACGGTGCATAAATATCGAATATAATATTTGAGTGAGCACCATCATTTTACTTTGCACCTTTAATATGATAGCTCAATTAACAATTGATATCAATTAATTATTCAATTTCATAGTTTAACGGCATAGTCAAAAATAGTTTTCCTAAAAAATATTGTATTAACTTTCACCTACTCTTAATTTCCCATGATCTAAAATTGAACGTGTCATGCCATCATGATTCATGACTTTTATAACTTACAGCACTGGCAACTCTAGTCACGAGCTGCATACAATTGTTATCGTCTATCGGCCACCTAATCGTGGCTTTGTCGGACTTGTGCCTAGTTTTGTTATTATTTAATAAATATATAATTTTGAAGTATTTTGTGAATAATTTATAATCAATTGGTTAGTGTTAATGAAAAGTTATCACTAATGGAACTTACAAATTAATCTTATGCATGAAATAGTGTCTTAAATACCCTATAAATGAGTGGCTCTAAATTTAAGGTGTGGTTGGGTCTGAGCTGTTTGACTAAGCGTAGCTTTGATCAAATTGGGCGGCGCCGATGCATAATTTATGAAGACTGAATTTATCAAATTTAATTAATAATATAAATAAACACAATTTTTGTTCAGCTAAAAACATGTAACAACAAAAAACTAATCCGTTTCATTAATTGTTTTGTAATGAAGCACATAAACAAGCTCAAGACCACGCCTAATGTAAGACACCCACACGTACACACACACACACACACACAAACACACGCCTATGATCATGTATGGTGGAACTCAATTAACGGTAGAATAACTTTAATTCATGAATGCTTTCAATTCAGGACTTGAACCTTACCATTTTGTATATTTTATATAATAATATTTTCTAAATTGCGAAAGCCAAATGTAAAAACCATTTTTGGACATTCAAAACAGATTCTATTGTACGTCTAGGTATGTGTCATGTGCGTGTGATCTTACTAATACAACCTTTATTCGTATGAGCAATAAGATTGCTCTTTTAATTTGTTTACATTCACAGTTCGTAAATTGAAAATCGCAAATAAACATTGTCTATTGTTCTGTATTTATAGACTACGAATTTCCAACTAGAAAATGTGCCTTTAGTCTCCAACAAATAGCCAGCTGGATAAGTTCTCACGTCGAGCTGTAACTTAAAGTAAACCAAGTCACTATGTTAACAAGGAACAGGCTAATAGTCTGCGGGCTAGTGCAATTGTTGCTGTTGGCAACGAGCAGGGGGCAACTGCCTAATGACTTGCAACCGCAACAACAGCCACAGCTGGGCCTGCCGCCTGCACAACAAGGACAACAGCCTCAAACATATCAACCCACTTACAACAAGGACTACTCGCCACGCTATAATCCTTCATACACGGGCCAGCAACAAACTCCAGACAATACACCGTATGATAATCCGTTGCTGGACTTTGGCAATCAGCCAAACA